TACTCAACACGGCGGTAAGAAAGGAACTGGCGGGATGTCTACGCCCACCCCCTCTGGGCATGCGCGGTGGGGTTCCTGTGCATGCCCGAGGGACTGGGCGTGAAAATCCATTAAAAGAGCTTGCTAAAGCACCGATCGATCCAGCGCGTGCACACTAGATCCCATGGGTGTGAAGCACAGAGACCATGTCGAAGATCTGACAGTGACTGCCCAGGAAAGACATCTTGGCGTCTGGGTGGACAGTTCGATGAAGATGTTGGCTCACTGTGAGGTGGCAGAGAAAAAGGCTGGGGATTATCAGAAATGGGGCTGGTTGGTAGAAAACAAAATGGCAGCAGAATAGATCTATGGTGTGGGCTGCATTCACCATACTGTACAGTTCCGGTCTCTGTATCTCAAAACAGACACTGTGGTGCTAGAAAAGAAGCAAAAAATGTTAACCAAAATGACTAAGGGGTTAGAGCACCTGCCTTACAAGGACAGACTATGAAGTATGGAGCTTTTTAGTTAGAGGAAATATGACTTAAGGGGCGGGGGCGGAGAAGATGGTACAGATTTATAAAATTATGCATGGGGTAGATAAAGTGGATGAATGTAACCAGGGCTCGCTCTTTCTTTCCTTCCTTCCTTCCTTCCTTCCTTCCTTCCTTCCTTCCTTCCTTCCTTCCTTCCTTCCTTCCTTAAAAGAGGTGCCGGAACTCTCAAGAGGGAAATGACATTTTCAATCTGTATACTGAGAACTCATGAGCTTGTAAACATTTTTAAAAGGATTTTGCTGAAGAGGTTCCGGAATTCCATTCTGGCACATTCCCCCAGAAAAAAAGTCCCGAGTAACCTTTTCTCTCCCATTTTTGAGCTATTCTGGCTCTAGTGTATCTGATGTGATAGGATACAATCTATAATCCAGATTACCGAGAGAGAGAGAGACTATCCGAGACCTTTCCTCTTTAAAATGGGGCAGTAGCCTTTGTTCACTCATCGATACGTTATCTCATTCTTAAGAGAAACTGTATCCTCAAGAACTCACTTGTATCATTATTCCGGGCACATACACACTTATTTAAATTTGTCTCAGGGTTAAAAAAATTGTCTGATTCATCAGTCAAAAACCCTTTCATCAAGTCGTCTCCAACGTAAAGCCGAGCTTGTAAAAGAAAAGAAAAAGCATGCAAATGATCTCGACTACAACGTTTAGTATTTTACCTTGAAAATGTTTCCTGCAGGATCCGTCATCTTGCAGGCAATGTTGGAGTTATGCTTCATAATGTATCTCCCTGTCTCGTGGTCCTCCTTATTGGCAATGAGCTCACATCCATTTTTGTCAAATGCCTCTGGTGAGTAAACCGCAGTACAATGTTCATCAATGAAGAGGTGGCCTTTGTTCATGGGCAACACCTACCGTAATAAAGAAAGGAGATTTAGCTAGCCCAGTCTCATCAGATCTCAGAAGCTAAGCAGGGTTGGCTCTGGTTAGTCCTTGGACGGGTGCCTTCTACTGTATCCAAGCACTGGGCCTTCCAGTTCAGAAGTCTGCAGAGTTGGAAGATTTTTGAGTACATAGTTGCTGCAGCAACAGCGTGTTGGACTTGTGAAAAACAAGGGAAGATTCAACAAGTCTCTGGGGCAAGTGATGCTCTGGGGCAAGTGATGCTCTGTCTTCTTGGTGCTTGGGGGGGGGGTCAACAGTGGGAGGGCTTCTAATGTCCTGGCCCCACTGCTGGACCTCCTGATGGCACTGGTATTTCTGGCCACTGTGTGACACAGAGTGTT